TGGGGGGTCCGTATGGAGGGTGGGGGCTCTGCAAAGACTGGGCCTGGAAAAGGGGTCTGCAGGAGAGGGGGGGTCCTGCAGGACAGGGGCATCACTGCGCTCCATAGGGGGGGTCCACCGGGTGGGGGGGTCCCATGGATGGGGTCCCAGTGATGAGTGGGGCCCTATGACGGAAGGGACGCCCCCAGACCCCCGTTCCCTGCACACCGACCGCATCTCCATCACGTAACCCACCGCCCCCAAACTATGGGTCTGTCCGCCCCTCTTCTTTCCCCCCCCCCCCCCGGGTTGCTCCCGCTGCACAGCCGGCCCTGCAGGAATTGGGTAAGCTCAGCTCTTGCGACAGCGCATTTTTCCATCCCTGTGCCATTTAACTCGGAGGGGTTTTGCAGATAAGCATCAGTTGGCGCAGGGAGCACGAAACCTCCTAATTGCCGACGCCTGGGAAGTGCCAAACTTTTATGGAAGGGGGTGGGGGGGGGGGAAGATGGGGGGTGGGAATCGAGTGTGACCTGTTTGCAGGTGTTCACAGCACGGCCCCAAAGGGGACACAGGGAAAAAAGTGTGTAGGGGGGTGGCTCAGTGCTCTCACCCCATTGGGATTTGGGGTTCCGTTTGTCCGCACTGCGCCCACCGCCCCCATGTGCTGCGTTTCCTCCTTCACACCCCACTCCCTCCTCCCTTTGTAGGGCGGCTTTTAGGGTCGACCTCCATGTAGGATGGCAGCACCGTTTTGGGGCAGGGAGTGGGGGGGGACGGGGCTGGAGCAGCAGCACAGCACTGGGGGGGCATGGAGGCAGAAGGCCGCATGCACGGTGCATGGCTTTGTTAGGGCGCTCAGTTCTGGGTGCAGGGTGCTGCCTGCATGGTGCTGGGTGCTCAGTTCTGATTGCAGGGTGCTGCCTGCATGGTGCTGGGTTGCAGGATGCACGTTGCATGGTGCTGGATGCGTGGTGCATGGTGCTTGCTTCTGGGTGCAGCACCATTGCAGGATGCACCGTGCTCACTGCAGGCTGCTGTGTGCCCAGCACTGGGTGCAGGGTGCTGGTTGCATGCTGCCAAGCACGCAGTGCGTGGCACTCAGTGCTCAGTTGCATGGAGCCCAGTTGCAGGATGCTCACTGCATGCTGCCCAGTGCGTGGTGCTGAGCGCTGCATGGCCGGTACCGACTGCATGGTACCTGGAACCCAGTGCTTGGTGCTGGCTGCAGGATGCATGGTGCCCGGTGCACGGTGCAAATGATGCCCAGAGCCTGGTACCAGTCACATGGTGCCCGGTACCGGTGATAGTGTGCCCGGTTCTGGCTGTGTGGTGCCAATTGCATGGTGCCCAGTGCTCGGTACCGGCCATAGGGTGCCTGGTTCTGGCTGTAGGGTGCTGGTTACATGGTACTCAGTGCTTGGTACCGGCCATAGGATGCCCGATTCTGGCTGTAAGGTGCCCAGTACCAGCTGCAGGGGGCCCGATACCAGCTGTAAGGTGCCCGGTTCTGGCTGTAGGTGCTGGTTACACGGTACCCAGTGCTTGGTACCGACTACAGGGTTCTGGCCATAGGGTGTTCAGTACCAGCTGCAGGGTGCCGGCTGCGTGGCACCCAGTGCTCAGTTCTGACTGCAGGGTGCCCAGTTCCACCCGTAGGGTGACGGTTCTGTCTGTAGGGTGACCCGTACCGCCTTAAGGTGCCCGGTTCCGGCTGCAGGGTGCCGGCTGCGCGGTACCCAGCGCCCGGTTCTGACCTTAGGCTGCCCGGTTCCGGCCGTAGGCTGCCGGTCACACGGCACGCAGCGCCCGGTACCGGCCATAGGGTGCCCGGTTCCGGCGGCCCGGTGCCGATGCCCGGTCCAGCTGCAGGCCCGGTCCCCGCCGCTCCGCGCGCCGCTTCCTGCTTTCTAATGTTCCATTGTGCGGAGCTTCCATTGTGACGCGCGGGGCTCGGCGCGGCTTTGTCTGTCCATATATGGGCAGCTACGTCACGGAGCGCTCCCGCCGCCCGCATAAATGGGCCGCGGAGTCCCCGGCGGAGCAGTCGGGAACCCGGAGCGGAGCGGGAGCGGCGGCGGAGCGATCGGGAGGGGTTAAAATCCTCCC